TCCCGTCACCGAGTACCAACGATCCTGTCACATCTTACAACACCTATTGAAAATACCAAGACTCCACTATCAACAGGAAGCGCATACCTACAGACCTACAGGCCCTCGCCTTCTATGACTTCTTATCAGTCCCTATCACTTGATATCATTCTCTGTCACCAAACACTAACGGTCCCCTCATATGCTACACCACCTGCCAAAGTGCCAAGGCTTCACCGCTAATACGAAGAGAATCACGGACCCTGTGGGTTTTGCCTTTTAAGGCTCCTTATCAGTTCCTATCGATAGTTGTCACTTCCAATCACCTACCATCAGTGTTCCCATCCCGCCATCTATCTCTCTTTCAAATTTGAATGCCCTAGGTTCAGTGGGACAGGAGTTATGAATTTCCGGTCAGACAAACGCACACACAAACACACACACACACAAACACACCAACAGACACACTTAGCCGATTATATAAGTAGGATAAGTACACGTCCTGCAATGAGCTGCAAAGCGCAAAGTAGAGTATAAACACGCTGCCCTGAATGGATCGGAGACTGAGCCCACTCCTGAAAAACGAAGGACACATTGAATCAAAAATCACTGAGAATTCATCCTGATCCCCAGAAAGTCATTAAGACGAAATGTTGCCTAACTCCCATTTCGTTTCCCACAATTTTTACCTACTATCTTCTCGATTGGCGTCGCTAGAATAATCAGCCCAACCAACAATTCGAGTATTTACATTTTCTCTTGGAATCCTTCATGTCTGAAGCGGTATCAAAGCTTTTTGATGGGGTGAAACCTCTCACTAGATTCACGACAGTCACCACCTAAAATAGGCTCGATATCCACAAATGCATTCACCGCATCAACCTCATCAACAACACTTTGTCCTTCTACTGAGTCGAGGCATCTGTGATCTCATATTAAAGAAGTAATTGAGATTGTTTGTATTGTACTGATCTGCCCAGTTTGACCAGGAGATTTGGCGGGCCGAAGCAGTATATAAACTTAAACATTCATCTATGAATTCTAATGAAGCTTCCTGCTCTTCTCGACCAAACAAGGGCACAACATATTGTCTATCTAACTGCTATGAGAGCCAGAACACGAAGGCGATGATGCTCAATCTAGACAAGCATTCGCACTCCTGGTGCTCGTCTCCTTCAGAAAATTTGCGCACTCTCATTAAAATGTACTTATACTTCAAAACCTTTGGCTAGAATGCATCAGGCAGTATACCTCGGTTATGCTTTTCATAATTTTCTCTATCACAAAAATGATTGGATCCAGCTTTTCTTCGACATACTTGGATATCCTTCTGGTGTTCGTGCAGCTATATATGTGTAACTGTGCATCGTCCGGCGGAGAATATCCTCCACATATGGTACGGTATGATTGGCATCTTCGATAGCAATCCAATGGACGTGAGGAACGAGACGCAGTGTATTTGACATTCTGAAAAAACCAATCCTGAGAAAATTGAACTACTCTGAAACCTGTTTTTCATGTGTATTTTCCAAGCTCTTGAAACTCCACTTTATTGGTTAGCTTTCGGCAT